AATCCACTCACCTCAGCCTCCCAAAGGCGCGGGATTACAGGCTGAGCCACTGAGCCCGGCAGTTTCACCTTCTTTATACTTCATTTACTTTTTTATATTTCCCAGAATGTTTATATCATCATGAGTTATCTTTATAATAAACAATTTCCATTTTGAGAAAGAAATAAAAAAGAACACAGGAAACCAGTTCTATTTTTGGACTGCTCTAGATTGAACTGGTTTAGGACTGAAAAACAGATCAACTTTTTCTAACCAATTTTGAGGCCCTGTCCTAAGGCCAACTCACAGCAGCTGCTAGGGTTTGGTGGCCTTTCCTAGCTGCAGCAGCACTTTCTCTTCCTGCATTTTGTACCATTTCAGCAAAAATGTTGAAAAAGCAACATTTTTCAGTGCTTTACATTGAGGACTGAGAAGGAATCCCTCCTCTCACTCGGAAGAATACTCTACCCCCCAGCGTTCTGCCCTTGAGCCCAGACTGCAGCCACACTGGACATAACCTCTGGTCTGTCTGGTTGGAAAGCAACAAGGGAAATAATAAAAATTTCTGCATAGAGGAAGAGATAAAGGTGAAGGCTAAAGTGCTCAGAGTCTGCCCTCTTCCTTTGTTGGCTACTCTTTTACTTTATCTTTGCTGGAAACTTCTCATCTTTCTGTCCTCTAAATACTTGAATGCCTCAGGGCTCAGTGGGGTCAATGGTCTCCAAAGATGGCCTTCCCCAAGTCCTTATCTCCCAATATCTCCAAAAAAAATGGGAGACTCTATTTCCCCTTCCCTTGAATCAGGGCTGGTTGCATGATTTACTTTGACCAATAGAATGCAGTTCCTGGCCAGCTTTCCAGAAGTCTGGTAGCATTCACTTTGGATAGAGAAGCCAGCCACCATGCTGCAACCTCTGAATGAGGGAGAGAGAGAGAGAAAAAAAAAAGACCACATAGAGTACGCCCAGGAACTAGACATGTGAGAGGGGGCTTCCTAGGGTCTCCAAGCCAGTCCAATCATGAGCTAAATGCAGCGGAGTGGCCTGGTTGACACCACATGGAAGATATTGAAGCAGCCTATCCTGATCACATTCCTGACCCACGGGATTGTGAGAAATAGTAACTTGATATTTTAAGCCATGAAGGGTTCGGGTGGTTTGCTATTCAGCAACAAGTAACCAAAATACTCAGTCCTTGGACATCTTTTTCCTGATTAGGTAGTCCCATTGCTAACCCAGTCTACAGGCTGATGACTCCAGCGCTCAGTTCTCTCCACAGTCCCAAACTCATACATCCAACTTCTTTCTCTATGTCTCCACTGGACGACTAATTTGCATCTCAAATAAAAAGAACTCTTGATCATCCCCTTAGTGGGCTAAATCTTTGCCTTTTTAGCAAATGACAACTATATCCTTTTAGTTTCATAGGACAAAAATCTGGGATTCATTCTTGATTCCTCTTACTCTCACACCCCACATCCAATCCTTCATAAATTCTATTGGAGCTAATTCTAAAATATATCCAGTACCTGACCACTTCTAACCATCTCCTTCATCACCATTCTGGTTTAATCTGCCAATCTTTCTCATGTGGGTTACTACAATAGCTTTCTAACTCACTTATCTGCTTCCATTCTTGCCTCCTTCCTTCCCTATTCTCACCCAGCAGCAGCCAGTGTGTTCCTTTTTAAAAAAGTTTAACTCAGACTGGGCGCTGTGGCTCATGCCTACAATCCCAGAACTTTGGGAGGTGGAGATAGGAGGATGGCTTGAGCCCAAGAGTTTGAGACCAGCCTAAGCACCATAGCAAGACCCGTGCTCTACAAAAAATTAGCCAGGTGTGGTGGCACATGCCTGTAGTCCCAACTATGAAAAGGCTGAGGTGGAAGGATTGCCGGGGCCCAAGAGGTCAAGGCTGCAGTAAACTGTGATCGTGCCACTATACTTCAGCCTAGATGACAGAGTGAGACTTTGACTTAAAAAAAAAAGTTTAAAGTCAAAGCATATCACTTCTCTGTTCAAAATCGTCCAGTGGCTTCCAATCTCACTCAGAGTAAAATCCAAAAACTTACATTTTTTCAGATCACATATATGATAAGGGACTTGTATCTAGAATATATAAAGAATGATTACAACTCATTAATAAAAATATAAATAGCCTAAGTAAAATGTGGGAAAATGATCTAAATAGATATTTCTACAAATAAGATATGTAAATAGCCAATAAGCACATAAAAAGATGTTCAACCTCATTAGCCAGGAGGGAAATACCAATTTAAACCATGAGATACTACTTCATACCCAAGATAATAATTAAAGGTCAGGCTCAGTGGCTCAACCTGTAATCCCAGCACTTTGGGAGGCTGAGGTGAGTGGATTGCCTGAGCCCCGGGGTTCGAGACCCGCCTGGGCAACTTGACGAGACCTCATCTCTACAAGAAATCAAAAATTAGCCAGTGTGGTAGCGCGTGCCTGTAGTTCCAGTTACTTGGAAGGCTGAGACGGAAGGATCGCCGGAGCCCAGCAGGTCGAGGCTGTGGTGGCCGGGAGCGGCCATTGCACTCCAGTCTAGGTGATAGAGGGAGACTCCAACTCAAAAAAAAAGATAATAACTAAAAAAAGACAGATAATAACAAATGTTGGTGAGGATGCAGAGAAACGGGAACCCTCATATACTGCTGGTGGCAATGTAAAATGATGCAGCCACTTCAGAAAACAGTCTGATAATTCCTCAAAAGATTAGACATAGAGTCATCATATGACCCAGCAATTCCACTCTTAGATAAACCTGAGAAAAACTGAAACAAATGTACACATGTGTGTTCACAGCAGCATTATTCATAATTGCCAAAATGTGAAAACAATTCAACTGATGAATTAACAAAATGTCATATATCCATACAGCGAAATATTGCTCAGTAATAAAAATCTATCAGCTGGGCTCGGTGGCTCAGCCTGTAATCCCGCGCCTTTGGGAGGCTGAGGTGAGTGGATTGCCTGAGCCCGTGGGTTCGAGACCCGCCTGGGCAACTTGGCGAGACCTCACCTCTACAATAAATCAAAAATTAGCCGGGCGTGGTAGTGTGCACCTGTAGTTCCAGCTACTTGGAAGGCTGAGTGGAAGGATTGCCGGAGCCCCGCAGGTCGAGGCTTGCGGTGGCCGGGAGTGGCCATTGCACTCCAGTCTGGGTGACAGAGTGAGAATCCAGCTCAAAAAAAAAAACCTATCAACTACTGATACATGCTAAAGCATGAATGAACTTTGAAAGTATTGTGCTAGCCGGGCTCAGTGGCTCAGCCTGTAATCCCGCGCCTTTGGAAGGCTGAGGTGAGTGGATTGCCTGAGCCCGCAGGTTCGAGACCCGCCTGGGCAGCGAGACCTCATCTCTACAATAAATAAAAAAATCAGCCGGGCGTGGTAGCGCATGCCTGTAATTCCGGCTACTTGGAAGGCTGAGGCGGAAGGATTGCCGGAGCCCAACAGGTCGAGGCTGCAGTGGCCGGGAGCGGCCACTGCACTCCAATCTGGGCGACAGAGTGAGACTGCAACTCAATAAAAAAAGAAAGTATTGTGCTAAGTGAAAGAAGTTTGTTACTGTTACAAAGATCATATATAATTTAGCTGGGCATAGTGGTACGCACCTGTAGCTCCAGCTACTTGGGAGGCTGAAGAGGGAGAATCACCTGGGCTCAGGAGATCAAGGCTGTGATAAGCCATGATCGTGCCACTACACTCCAGCCTGGGTGACAGAGCAAGGCCCTGACTCAACTAAATAAATATCAAAATGGAATCCAAAGCAAAACCATATATTGTATGATTCTGTGTATATGAAATGTCCAGAATAGGCAAATCCATAGAGACAGAAAGTAGATCAGAGTTTATCTAGAGCTAGGGCTTGTGCAATATGGGAGATTACAGCTAAGGGGCATATGGTTTCTTTTGACGTTATGAGAAAGTTCTAAATCTGACTGTAGTCATCGTTGTACAACTCTGTGAATACACTGAAAACTCTTTATTGCATACTTTAAATGGATGAATTGTATAGTACGTGAATTATATCTCAATAGAGCTGTTACCAAAAAATTCTCAAGTCTTACCATGGCCTACAAGGTCCTTCACTGTGTGACTTCATCTCTCTCTATCCTTTTCCTTGCTCACTGTGTACGGGTTACTCTGGCTTCCTTGATGCTCTACAGACTCACAAAACACACTCCTAGCTCAGGGCCAGGGCTGAGGCTTATGGTTAAGCAGTGTGTGCACTGCATAAAAAGCTCCTGGCTAAGTGATCATTGAAATCCAGGCTTCTGCTTTTTGAGACTGGGACCCAGGAGCCATCTCCTCCTAGAGGGGCCATCTTCATCTAATTGGTACAAAGGTGCATGCTAGCCATGACCGTGCTTGGGACTTCTGCACACACTGTTCTCCCTGTCTCTTCTTTCCCCACACAGTCCCATAGCTCATTCCCCCACGTTTATTCAGTTACTTGCTCACATGTCACCAGAGAGGCCTTCCTTGCCCACTCTGCTGCAGCACACCCTGTCACATCCTCATCACTCTCCAACGCCCCTCCTTCTTCTAAAGGCAAGTTCTCTATGTAGAACTTACTGCCATCTGGTATATTATATATTGATGTGCACTTTGGTTACTGGTGTACCTCCTTCCACTAGACTGAAAACTCCATGAGAACAGGAGCTTTGTTTAGTTCCTTGCTATGTCCCCAGTGCCTAGAATAACGTTTAGCACATAGTAGGTATTCAATACATATTTAACTGAATGAATAAATGAAGTAAAACCCAGTGGTCATCAACACGGACCGGTCCAAGCCAATTCTAGGAAAACAGAAGTGTGTGTTTTAGTGGACTGGATTGATTGTGCAACCAAGACGAAGTAGCAGAAAGTTATGCCTAACACTCAGTGGCCGCGATTATCCACAAGCCAAGGCACTGCTGATTAGAATGCAGACGCTAGTGGGTGAAGCCTGGTGCTCAGGGAGCGACTCCCTCACTGGTCTGGCCTCTTACCTCCTCCTTAGTGTAGTACTTCAGGAGGCCTTCTCTTGCCAGAAGGACAAACCTCCTTCTCAGGAACTGTGCGTTGTCCCTCCCCCGCTTCCACAGGAATCCTTCTCGGTTACCTGAACCGCCAGGGACAAGAAAGAGTGAACAGCCAGGCTTGGTGGCTCAGCCTGTAATCCCAGCACTTTGGGAGACCGAGGCGAGTGGATTGCCTGAGCCCACAGGTTTGAGACCAGCCTGGGCAACTTGGAGAGACCTCATCTCTACAATACATCAAAAATTAGTCAGGCATGGTAGCATGTGCCTGTAGTTCCAGTTAGTGCCTGTAGTTCCAGCTACTTGGAAGGCTGAGGTAGAAGGATCGCCGGAGCCCAGCAGGTTGATGCTCGGGTGACCATGAGCGTGCCACTGCACTCCAGCCTGGACAAGAGACTCCAACTCAAAAAAAAAAAAAAGAAAGAGTGAACACCCGTGACCTTAAGATGTACAAACAGTTCATGAACCCCATCGGGTCTCAGAGTTGCAGTGAGCCTTCTGCCTGCTGCCCAGTTAGCTCCAGTGGAACTTGGCTACTGCAGCTGCAGGACACAAGGGTCCCATCTGGGACCAATTCTGTGAGGTCTTACCATTTCAGCTGGACTTCCTCCACTGCCTAAAACCTTTCTTCCTTGGCTCTCCATGGTGTCAGGCTGTCTCCTAAGAAGACCCTTAAGAAGGCTAAATTCAGCCGGGCTCGGTGGCTCAGCCTATAATCCCACGCCTTTGAGAGGCTGAGGTGAGTGGATTGCCTGAGCCCGCGGGTTTGAGACCCGCCTGGGCAGTGAGACCTCATCTCTACAATAAATCAAAAAATCAGCCGGGCGTGGTAGCGTATGCCTGTAATTCCGGCTACTTGGAAGGCTGAGGCAGAAGGATCGCCGGAGCCCAGCAGGATGCGGCTGCGGTGGCTGGGAGCGGCCATTGCACTCCAGTCTGGGCGACAGAGTGAGACTCCAACTCAAAAAAAAAAAAAAAAAAAAGAAGGCTAAGTTCTAGAAATGGGACAGATTCTAAAAGAGGCCTGAATATGCCTGGTCCTGCCCAACTTCACATTGACAGCAGCCGAATGAAACTTTAGGAATAATGAGTGCCCTCTGCATATCTGCTGGCTTGAAGAATAATTTGTGCTGGTAGGAGCCAGGAGAGTTGAGCACTGACTGCCTCTGGTCCTTCAAGAGTGCTTTTGTACACTTTTCTCTCTGGGTAAGTGTCAGCTTGGTCTCAGGACAGTGGGGTAAAACTGCCATGGGTCCAGAGTCAATGAAGAGATTGTACCCAGCACAATGGTGGAAAGAGAGGCTGAAATCCCACCCGTGCTACTCATGAACACTTGAGATCACCAGGAGCTACATTAGCCAGAAACAGAGGTGCCTTTTCCTTTTTTTTTTTTGGAATTGAGGTCTTATATTGCCCAGGCTGGAGCACAGTGGCACAATCACAGCTCACAATCGCAGCCTCAAACTCCTGAACTCAGGCAATCCTTCTACCTCAGCCTCCTGAGTAGTAGGGACTACAGGTGCACATCACCACATCCAGCTAATTTTTTTTGTAGAGACAAGGTCTTGCTATGTTGCCCAGGCTAATCTTGAACTCCGGGGCTCAAGTGATGCACCTGCCTCAGCCTCCCGAAGTGCTTGGATTATAGGCATGAGCCACTGGGCCCGGGGGAGGAGACTTCCTGCAATTTATACTGAGACTCTTCCATGCTTGTGGTCCTGCACGACCTCAGACAAATAAGCTTTCCTGCTACTCAGACCATAAAACCCCACCAGTTGATGTGTTGCAATTTTAAAGTTAGAGAAACCCACACCTCAGCTTCTGTGCCCAAGTGAGGGCAGTAGGCATCTCTTGGATGAATTCGGCTCTGAATATCTAGGTACCTCATTTTCTAGAGCTCATTAGCACACAGGTTCACAAGATGATAAAAATAACTTTACCTGGGGGTGAGATGGTTTCCCCATCAGCCATAAATTCCTGTCTCTGATACTTTGCTCGAATCCATTGTTCTTTTAAGACCCTAAAAAGAGAGAACCCCTGGTCAGCTGCACCTGAGGCATCCTTTTCTCATAGTAACTTTCCAAGACCCTGCAGTTGAGAGTAGGAACATCATAGCAGCTGCCTCACTGCCTGCTCAGATTACCCAGAGTTTCGCAGCCTCAGAACTATTAACATTTGGTGCTGGAGAATTATTTGTTGTGGTGGGCTATCAGGTGCTTCTAGAATGTTTAGCAGCACCTCTGGCCCCTACCCATTAGATGTCAGTAGCATCCCTTTTCCAGTTATGACACACAAAAATGTCTTCAGACATTGCCAAATGTCTCCTGGGAGAGAGGGACTATTTCTCCCGTGGGATATTTGAGAACCACTGGGCTTTTTCAAGCCCAGCCTCAGCTCTCTAGGTCAATGCGACAGGTACAGCCACCACCTACATTTGTTTTCTAGAACGAAGAACACAGATCTCACAAGATGAGAAGAATAACTTTACCTAGAGGTAAGATGGCTCTCCCATCTGCCATAAATGCCTGTCTATGATACTTGGCATTTTGGTAGGGCGAAATGCTTTCCTGCATCTACCTGTTGATCAGGTTCACAGATGAGTTACCACCATGGAATCCAGGCATGCTACACTGGACAGAGCAGTGGTCTTGGGGTCTGACACGGGGAACCTGGTTTCACTCTATCACTTATCCACTGTGTGACCAAGAGCAAGTTACTTAACTCTCTGAATTTGAAGAATTGCCAATATTGTCATTCCTACCTACCCCTCAGGGTTGTTGAGAGGTTTACATATATGCAAAGGACCCAACACTATGTTGGTACATAGCAGGTATTTGATGCGACCTTTATCAGATATTGTCAGCTATGGCTTCTGCAGAAAAACCATGCAGTCAAGAGTGGATTTATTTTAATCATTTGGTTCCCTCTCACCTTTCTCAGGTAAATGTTCCAGTGTGTATATGACTTTATCCCATGGCAACAAAATGACCTAGAACTGGGTACCTAGCCCAAATTGGGTCATTCAGAGCTGGGCTGCCTGGGCTATGTGGACCCAAAGGACCAAGACTGAAGGAGAGGTTGACTAGAAGCCCTCTCCAGGGTCATGCTGGGAGGTATGGCCTGGCACCCGGGAATGGCCTTGTCACCAGCTGCATGAAGGAAGCCTGGGTGAGAGGGAGATGAGAAATGAGAGCCAGAGAGAACATGAGAGACCTGATCATGTTTGAGTCCTCGGCTTGGTCCTTCAAGGCTGATCCCACCTCAGTCCTTCCTGTGTTCTGATTTCCAGAACCCATAAAAATCCTCTTTCTCCTAAGCTGGTTTAAATTGGGTTTTCTGTCCCTTACCTTCAGGAGTCCTTCCTAATGCACAGCCTTCACCCCCAGGACATGGAGAAGAGTCCCCAGGCCCACTGAGCCACAGGATCAGAACTGGGAGAGGGAATGGAGCTCAAGAGCTGTGAATCCTAGTCCTAGAGGTGGGGTATTTAGAGAAGTTTTGTTGGAGCCATGACCAGTGATGTCTATAGTGCTGGCAGAAAGCCTAGCACATAGTAGGTGCTCTCTGAGTTCTTGGAGCAAAGGGTCAAGTGGCAGCAGCGAGTCAGGAGGAGCCAGGCCCTCTCAAGTTGAGTCAGCACACTCCACGACTGGGCCAGGGATGGGCAGCATTCTGAAGCTGACACTGAGAAATGGGTGAAAACCAGTGTGTCGGGTGGCACGTGAGAGGTTTTACTCACATTACCTCATAATCTCTACAACCATGCTATGACACAGGCATCACTGTCTACATTTCCAAATGAGGATGCCAACAGTCAGAGAGGTTTGGTAACTTGTTCTCCTCCTCACAGCTGGGGAGTGGTAGAGTCAGGAGATAAAACTGGAAGTTTTCCAAAAGCTGTGCTTCCCCACCACTCTACACTACACCAGTAGCCTTTGGGAAGTCTAAGTACTGAGAAATTGCAGGACTGGCTGGGCAAGGTGGCTCATGCCTGTAATCCCAGTAGCGTGGGAGGCTGAGGCGGAAAAATCGCTAGAGCCTAGGGGTTCGAGACTAGCCTGGGCAACATAGCGAGACCTTGTTTCTACAGAAAATCAAAAAATTAGCCAGGTGTGGTGGCACATGCCTAATGTACCAGCTACTCAGGAGGCTGAGGCAGGAGGATCACCAGGAGCCCAGGAGGTCAAGGATGTGGTAAGTCGTGATCCTGCCACTGTACTCCAGCCTGGGCAACAGAGTGAGACCCTGATTCAAAAAAAAAGGGGGGGGGGCGGGGAAAAGAAAAAAGAAACTGCAGGATTGCCAGGCACAGTTGTGTAGTCTGTGCATTGCCCAAAAAGCACCCTATTGAGGCCAGATAGCTGAAATGCAGTTTGCCTTCTACTTGTCAGCCATGCCTCCATGAGGTGCTGTCTGCCTAGAGGGATACCCTCTCACCATTTACATATGACACTGTCCAGTAGCCCTGGTGGTGAGATGAGTCACTTGGAAGGACTTTCAGACACAGGCAATCAGTCTTGCAGAGGTCAGGGGTCATGAGGAACCAGTGTCACACTGACCCCTGACCTCCAGGGAACATGAACCCTCCTGCTGCTTCACAGCCCCCGTTATACTGGTTTCTCCCATGCCATGATGCAGTCACACAGGCCCTGGTGCCAGATGGACTAGACTCGGTCCTGCCTCTGGAAACCTCAGGTTTTTCATCTACAGCATGGGCATAATAACTGTACTTATGGGGGTGTCGAGAGAATTAAATAAACTAAGGCACATAAGTATTTAGCACAGGGCCTGGTGCATAGACGGAGCTCAATAAATATTAGTAGCCACTACTATTTTTATGGTTATTATTTCGAGATCTGAAGCTCAGGCAAATTACTTGGAGTCAACCTGAGCTTAGGTGGTACAGTCCAAGGCATATTACTTGGTAGGAAGTAGCTGAAACATACTTGTTCTATTAAAATACCAGCGTTTCCCCCCCCCCCGTCAAGTTATGTCTTCTAGGCTAGAAGAACTTCAGAGGCAGAGGCGTAGATCACAGAGAAAATCCTCCATTTCCTAACTGTGGAAACTGAGACCCAGAGAGCGGACGTGACACACCCAAGCAGCAGAGATGGAGAGAGGCATGACCCCAATCTCCCAAGCGATCTCCACGATGGTTTCCAAGTGAGTTCCTACATCTACCTGCTGACAGGTCCATAGACAAGACCACCACAGACAAAGCCACCAGAGATGGGTAGGAGAGAAGGAGGCAGAACCAGGAAGACCCATCACCCAGTCCCTAAGGAGTCACCCACTCACAGGCAGTCGTTGGCCTGAGGGACGTAATAGAAAGCTGGGACTCTGGCTTCGAACTTGGCCTTCACACGGAGGTTCCCGTTGTGGGTCATAAACTGCAAGACAACAGCAACTCAGGGTCATATTAGAACTTGAAGAAATGTGAAATGAAACTATGAGGCCACTGGTCTGGCTGACTCCAAGGTTGAGTCAGAAGACACTGCCTCCAAGAAAGAGCCGTCCCCTGCACTTGGTCATCCACACTGCTGGGAAGCCCCAGCCGGTGACCATGAGGGACCATGCCGTGTACAGGCACAGCACTTTTCAGTTCTCACACATCAGCTTGTTGGCTCCTCTCAACCATTTTAATGTTACTGTCCTCATTTTACAGATGAGAATACTGAGACTCAGAGATGACAGGAGACTTGCCCAAAGCAATACAGCTATAGATGAAGAGCTGGGATTTGAACCCAGACCTATGTGACTTCAAAGCTCACGCTCTTTCTCCCACTCCCTCCACAGATGTCCAGGACCCCCGGTGGCCCTGAAAGTCTGCAGGAGACAGATGTAGCTTGAGGACAGAAGAAGAGATTGCTGGCCTCACAGCGTGCCTAGATCAGGATGACCGGGGGGCCCTTTGGCAACCAAGAGACCCAAGGATGTACCACATCTGGGGTGAGGCCAGGAGCGGAAAGAAACACCAGGCTTTTAATTCACATCTCTTGGGCAGAGTTTTTCCTCCTACACAGGGGCCGCAGGATTTGTACCAGCATTAGATCCCAACAGAGCAGCGTTCAAATCCTCACTCTGCCATTTACTCCCTGACTGACTCTTGGGCTCTTGCCTGTGGAATTGCAGAAAATACAACAGGGGAGTTATAGGATGCAAATAGAAACCCTTCAGGTTTATGTGCTGGCTTACTGGTTTCCTGCCTTTCTCCTTACGTAAGCTCCAGATGGTCAGGGCCCGTGTTCACCGTTCTCTCCCACGACCCAGCACTCAGGAGGCTCACGGTAAAGTGGCCAGCCCAGTGGTGTCTAGCACAGGACCTGGGACTCAATCAGTGTTCTGCCTGCTCCCTCAACATCCCCCAAACTCTCAACCAACCAGCGCCGGCCTGCTCTCTGAAGGTTTTCTGGCCAAAGTGGTATGACCATTTAGGCCGAGGGACACCCTCAAAGTGGTGGTCCTCTTCCTGCCTAAGGGGAGGGGAGGAGGAACACCGGTCATGAATCAGGCATTTCCCTTCCCCCAGTCCAGGACTTCCACTAGTGATAACAGCAACGTTCACTGACCACTTACTGGTGCCTGGACTTCTTCTTTTGCAGAGGTGGGACCTGGGGCCCAGAGAGGTCGAGCAGGTTGCTCACAGTCTCTCGGCTCCCAAGTGGCAGGCTGGAATTTGATCTCAGGCCAGCGTGAGGGTCCCCAAGTCCCGCACTCCTGTCTACGTTTAATCCTCAAAGCAGCGCTGTGAAAGGGTGGCAGCTAGGACTAAGGAGCCAGCCACCAGGTTGTAAGTAAGCAAGAGATGGCGTCAGCATTTGAACTCGGGCCTCCGAATAAGCCTCCGTCTAGCAGGCTGTGTTGCCTCTCGCTAGAAGAATCGCCCCTCGCCGAAGCTCAGTTTTCTCCTCTGTCGAATGGGAGCGCCCCGGCCACCTCCTCCTGGCGCGCAGGCCTTTCTAACCTCCACAATGCTGTCGTCCCAGAAGTCGAGCCTCACGGATTTCACTTTGCTGATGTCGGGGAAGTTGCGGTGGACGCCGGAGCAGTTGAGACAGATGAAGACCCCCAGCTTGTAGGAGGCCCAGTCGGGATCTGCGGGGCGAGAGGGCAGGAGGGAGGGCTGGGCCGGGGCGCCGGGCCGGCAGAGCCTGGCAGGATTCTGGGGTCGGTGGCGGCTCTGCCCACGCCTGGAGCCCCTTTTCCCTCGGTCTCCCCACTTGGGGCGAGCCGTGGCCCGCGTGGGACCTTCTGGTCTGTCCCCGGCGGCGACCGGGAAGGAGATCTTGGAGGGAGTCCGGGG